GATATATATTCAGAAGTAGGATTGCTGGATCGTGGTAGTTATATTTTTAATTTTCTGAGGAACCTCATACTGTTTCCCATAATGGCCATGTCAATTTATATTCCCACCAACAGTGGACAAGGGTTCCCTTTTCTCCACATTGTGGTCAGTTTTAAAACTACTAATTCAATCTTTTACTTATAGGTCGTTTCAGTTTTTCTTTTTCTTCCTGAATTAGTTTTGCTAGTTTATGTCTCTGTAGGAATTTGTCCATTTCATCTAAAATATCTAATGTGTTGACATATAGTTTTTCAGTGTTTTCTCTTACAGTCTTTTTTTTATCTCTGTAAGGACAGGAGTAATGATCCCTTCTTTCATTCCTGATTTTGATAATTTGAGTCTTCTCTTTACTTCATCCGACTAGCTAAATATTTGTCAATTTTGTTGACCTTTTCAAAGAATCAACTTCTGGTTCCACTGATTTTCTCTATTGTTTTTCTATTCTCCATTGCATTTATTTCCACTGTAATGTATATTATTTTCTCTTTCTGTTTGCTTTAGATTTTGTTTGCTTTTTTATTTTCAGTGTTTTAAGGTAGAAGATTAGGGTATTATTTTGAGATATTTCCTCTATTTTATTATAGACATTCACAGCTATAAATTTTCCTCTATGTACTGGTTTAGTTGCCTCCCATTCATTTTGGTATCTTGTATTTTTGTTTTCGTTCATCTCAAAATATTTTCTCATTTCCCTTGTAATTTCTTCTTTAACCCATTGGTTAGAATGAATTCTTTACTTTCCATATATTGGTGAATTTCCCTAATTTTCTTCTGTTATTTATTTCTAATTTAATTTCATTGTAACCAGGGAATATACTTTATATGATTTCAGTCCTTTTCAATCTGTTTGTTCTGTCACCTAATACTGATCCGTCCTAGAGATGATTCATGTATGCTTGAGAAGAATGTGTATTCTGCTGTTGGTGGTGGAATTATGTATCGATGTCTGTTAGTTCTATTTGCTGATAGTGTTGTTCAAGTTTTCCGTTTCTTATTGATCTGTCCAGTTGTTCCTTCCATTGTTGAAAGTGCAGTACTGAAGTCTCCAACTCTTATTTCTGCTTTCAGTTCTTTTGGTTTTTGCTTCTTGTATTTTGGAGCTCTGTTTTTAGGCACGTATGTGCTCATCATTATACTTTCCTAGTGCATTGGCCTTTTTATCATTATACAATGTCCGTCTTTATTGCCAGTAACATGTTTGCTTCTTTGTTTTAAAGTCCATTATGCCTGATATTAGTATATCCACTCCTACTCTCCTTTAGTTACTGTTAGTGTGATACATCTTTTTCTGTCTTTTACTGTCAGTCTATTCATATCTTTGAATAAAAGTATGTCTCTACTATAGACAGTGTATGGTTGGCAGCAGGCTCTTCATGAAGGGTTGTCTGAGCACCTGTATCACTGCCACAAGATCCAACACTGATTCAGTCATGGTTGGTGGAAAAGGCTCTCAGATATGGTCACTTAAGATGGTAAAGCCTGAGAAGCCAACTGAGTAAAAGACATGGCACTAGAACCAGGCAGTTACATTTGAGCAAGGTCTTGAAGGAGTAAGACTC